CTCACTCCAGGCCCCACATGCTCCCTGTAGGCCTCATATGCTCACTGCTAGCCTCAAACATTCACTGTCCCCTTACAGCTGATCCAGACATCTGGGACTGGGGTACGCTCTCCTGGGGCCCTAGAGGGCCCTAATCTAGTTATACCAGGCTCCTCCCACCCTTTTATCTGGTGTTCATGCCAGTCTAGTGTCCACACCACTCTCCGGCAGCTGGGCTTCTCCCTGGGACCAGCCCTTGCCGAGGCTTGAGGGTCACTGCAGTCCTCACAGTGTAACATCATGGGACACACCCACAGTATGTCCATGGTGAGAGGGGAGCAACATGCTGTGGGTGCTGCCTGTCTCTCCCCAGAGACCCCAGGGTGACTGGAGTCCTCCGTCCTGGCTTTGGTTTTGCCTGGCCCGCACATCCTCTCTGCCCTGGGCAGAGCTGACACCCAGAGCAGTGAGGGGCACAGGGGTGAGTGAGCAGCAGTGGGCAGAGGACCTGTCCTGGCTCAGACCCCGTCCATGCTGTGGGGTCCGGGAGCCCCTCTAAGCCCACCCACAGGGTCCCCCAGCGGGTCTCAGCACCTTCATGATGCCGTTCCAGTTGTCGCCAGTGGAGACCTGGAAGAGCGTGAGGAAGGCCATGCCGAAGTTCTCGAAGGTGGCGTGCCGGCTCATGCCTTCACACGGGTTCTCGTCATTACAGACTGCAGGGGAGAGGAGGTCAGTCCTGCCGCCAGCGTCGCCCCTCAGAAAGCCCCATCTCAGCCTTCGGAGGTGTGTGTGCTGCACCGCGCCCAGGCCACAGATGGAGAAACTGAGGCTGCAGGAGCAGCACACCAGCTGGGGCTTGGACTCAAGTGTCTGTCCATTCCCGAGGAAGGATGGCATGGAAGCCTGGGCTGGCCTCGTAGGGACTCTATGTTCAGAGCAGGCCTGTGCAGGCTAGGCTCAGTGTGGGCTCAGACACCCTCTCCCCTCCCCCGCCCCAAATTCTGGGCCACGGCTGGCTCTGGCCGAGACTGGAGCTCAGGGGGGCAGGGTCCACCACCACACATGGATCTCGCTGGCTTCTCCCTGTCAACACCTGTCCACCACCATCCAGTGAGCTGCTCACCAACCCCACGGGCCCTATGCTGGGGGCAGCTCCCCAGTAGAAAACCCTGATGTCACAGGCTGGGGGCTTTAAGCTTCTCCACTCCTCCCACCCCTCTCTACCCCTCCGCCATGACGGCCCCCACCCAGGCCACTCACTCAGCTTCCCAAAGAGCTCGACGCCCAGCGCGGCGTAAATGAAGAAAAGCAGCATGAACAGGAGGCCCAGGTTGCCGACCTGCGGGGAGAGTGGGGGTGCAGGTGGGGTGCAGGGCCCCAGGTAGGAGGGCCAGCTGACACCCTTAACCGGACTATATCCCTATCTGTCACTCTCATGCCACTGCTGGAGGTGGGTGTCCAGGAGGGACCCAGAATGATAATAAAACTCCCAAGACACCCCACAAACAGCAATCCACAATCATCAGCTCAGCCACTCCTCCCAACAGCCCATTCCCCTGATGAGGAAAGTGTAGGCCCAGAGGTGACATCACTCGCATATGATCACCCAGCTGGAAAACGGATTCAAACCCAGCAGGCAGGGCCCAGGGAAATGCAAGCCGTGGCTACTCTACACCCCTGTGCAGGGGGAGGAAGGGGCCCATGGAAAAGGGGAAGATGGAGGGAGGAACAAGGAAGAACTGCTCCGTTCCAACACCACCTCCTCCAGGAAGTTCGCCCTGATTCATCCTGGCAGACATAAATACAACTAGCTGTCGATATAGCCAGGGTGTCCCCGTCACTGTCCTCTGATGGCCCAATAGGCTAGGCCAAGGGGACGACAATTTGGGGGCATCAGGCAGACAAGGCAACTTGAAACAGAGTTGTCACGAGGCTCTGTCCAAAGCAGAGAGGAGGGCAGGGTTAAGTCAGATCCGCCTCCTCCTGCCAGCATGGGAATTGGGCAGGACTGGGGCCCCCAGAAGCTTTCTGCAAGCCTGCCACCTCCAGCCCTCAGCTCCTGTGGGAGAAAGCGCCCCAGATTCTAAGCCTATTTCAAATCTGTCCACACGCTGGAGGCAGCCTTTAATGCATGCAGTGGACTCGACAGGCCTCTTGCCTGCTCTTGCCCTAGAAAGGAAGTGCGCGCTGAAACCCGCAGAGGCCCGCAGGAATGGCATTAGAAGCACGTCTGCACTAATTGCGGAAAAGTGAGCCCGTTAATCACTGACTCCTTGAGTTTCCAGACTCCAGAGAGGAGGGTTCTCACACACTCACACGGAGAGTGTCTGAGTAATTAAATGATGCTCCGTACATTAACGAAACAAGCACTTACTGAGCGCCCACAGGGTGAGGCCGTGGGAAGCCCAGGTCAGAGCTGTCGCCGGCTGGGTGATGGGGGGGCAGTGGGGGGCAGCCTGGCTATCACAGACACCCCTGGGCCCTTGTTCTCTGCTCACAGGAGATGCCCGCCGCCTCTGAACTCAGCAGAGACCGGAGAACAGGCTGGAACTGGACTCCATGTCCTGCTGGGTGGGGAGCTGACGCATCTGAGAACACAAGCTCAGTGAGGGCAGCAAGCCTCTCGTGTGACCCCTACAATCTTGGGAAGTACCTCACGAGGGGAGTCCAGCATGATCCTCAATGCGATGAGTAAACTGACCAGAAAAGACGAGTACTTTGCAGCGGTCACGAGGCAGGGCTTGAACTCGAGTCCTCAGGACATCTCGTCCCTGCACAAGCCAGCCTCAGAGCCCCATAGCCCTGGTGTCCTGATAGTTGCCTGTCCTGCCCCTCCTCCAACCAAAGACCCCCATCCAAGGCTCTGGCCCAGGACCCACTCCGTCTATTACTCTTTGCATGGAGCCAACCTTCCTCTCCTTGTGGGGTAGACTGAGGACTCTGCAGGGCAAAGAGCATCTTCAGAGCAGCTGGTGGGGGCCAGAAGAGGGCCTCGGGGGGGAGGGGCTGGTGATGCCTCCTCAGTGGGAAAATGGGAGTTTGCTCCCCAGCCCAAGGAGCAAAGAGAGAGGAGGCAGGAGGATGGGGCAGGGAGGAAGGAGCCAGCTGGCCCGGCTCAGGGCCAACTGTACACACGAGAAGGCCCATGTCTACTGAAAGCCACTTCCTCTTGGCTGATGGTCCCACCTCACTCCTCACGCACAGCAGAGGCAATAAGACCCCGGAGAACATGTGAGGTCCAGAGGAGGAGGGTTCATATGGAAATGACTGTGTCTGTCCAAGGCATCTCTCACTCCACTGGGCAGACCCCAGCCACTGCCCACCCCAGCTTTGAGGCCTCAGCCCACCGCACAGCTTCACCAGAAGGGATCCCAAGGCCAGGCTCCTTCCCCAGATCCTGCTGCACCTCGGCCTCAGCTTTCCCCTCCATCCTCCTCCTCCTTCAGGCTGGACCCCTGAGCAGCCTCCTCGCCCCACCTCTGGCTTCTAGCCTCGCCTCCACAGTCCAGGCACAAGCTGGCTGAAGGCAGCTCTGTCTTCAAAGCACACAGTCTCACCGTGGTGTTTCTTCCTCCAGTGGATTCCCACTCGCCGGGGCCCTCTTTAGCTCGATTCGTAAAGAACATCTACCTTAAACATGGTGTGCTTTCAAGAACTATCTACATGGGCTCTAAGTGACAACAGCCACTCAGCAGATCAGCTGGGAACCATAGAGCACAGTGAGTTCACGTCGATGGGAGGGGCCCAACCCGGACAATGAGGGTGAAATGTACACAACCTGAAGAATGTCATCCATGTCACAGATGTACAGAAACACTGCGTCTCTCACAACAATAATTTTTTAAAAAACCAGTTTTTCAAAAGGCCGTTTCCGTGGAGGTCTCCTTTGCTCAGGATTCTCCCAGGGTATCTCACTGCCCACAGGACAAAGCCCGAGTTTGCTGCCCTGGCATCAATCACCTGCCCACAGACGCCTTTATCTTCTAGCTCCAGACTTCAGTCACTCTAACAACACACCCTGTGGTGCCGTGGCGTATCCCGTTCCCTCTGCAGGGAAAAGCCTCTGTCCTGGCTTGCTAAATGCCTCCTCCCCACTCCTCAGAGAGCTCTGGTGGACTGCTGATAAGAAGCTGCACTGCAATCACAAAGGGACGTGGTTCGAATCCATGAGCTGCTCTGCAGGGCAATCCATGCCTTTTAATACCTCCGAAAACTGGCTGGAGGGTTAATTATGAGTCAACTCCAACTCAATGGTACACAGAAACAACAACAACCTCCCTCAAAGCTCAGTGTCCAGTCACCTCCTACAAGAAGCCTTCCCTGATCTCTCCTCCCTCAGTCTGGGGCTGAGTCTACTGGGAAGGGGAACAGTATTTCCTTTTCATAGCACTTTATATGTTGTTGTTGTTGTTGTTAGGTGTTATAGCAAGTAGACAAAAGACTTACAGCAGCCTATGAACGACAGATCTGAACCTTCCCCTGTCCTGTGCTGTCCTTACCATCTCTGTCCTGCTCAATCCCCATTACAGGAGTCACTGCATCAATCCATCTCATTGAGGGTCTTCCTCTCCTTCAAAGACCCTCTCTTTCCCTATCCCAGCACAATGTATCTCTCCAAGAACTGGTTCCTCCTGGAAATATGCCCCAAAGGAGATGCAGTCTCACCATCCTTGCCTCTAGGGAGCACTCTGGATGCATTTCCTTCAAGGCAGATCTGTTTGTTCTTTTGACAGACCCTGGTGTATTCAATACTCCACCAACACCACAACTCAAAGGCTTTGATTCTACTTCTGTCCTCCTTATTCACTGTCTAACTTTCACATGCATAGGAAGCAGTTAAAAAATACCACACTGAATGAAAGAATGTTGTACAATGACTCATTTAGTCATTGTAAATACTTTAAAAAAAATAAAACAAAACCATGTATGACAGCTATGCACATGGACCTCACCTAATGAACTACCCAGGGACAAAACTGACTCCATCTGTGGAAAAACACATTGGAGAAGTTTCAGTATCAGTCAAAACCCAGCCAGGGGCTGACTGTGGAACAGACCATCAACTACTCATACACAACTTCAAATGGCACTTGAAGGAAATTAAAACAAGCCCATGAGAACCAAAATACAACCTTGAGTGTATTCCAACTGAATGTAAAAATCATCTGAGGAACAGATTTGACTCACTGAACACTGATATCTGAAGACCGAATGAGATGAGGAATGACATCAAGGACATCACACATAAAAAAAGGAAAAGGGTAGTAAAAAAATAGGGAAGAAAGAAAAGGCCAGACTGGATGTCAGGAGAGACCCTGAAAGTTGCACTGGATGCAAAGAAGCCAGAATAAGGGGAAGAAATGTGCTCTCTCAGAACTTAGAAGATGGCAAAGGTGCACAGGACAGCACAGGGCCAGTGGACGACCACGTGGGCTAAGCTCCCTCCAACAGCCGCTGGGTGCTACTCAACAGCACAGATATCTTAATGTTCAGGAGCTGCTGCACCTACCATCCCATGTCTCCCACTTAAGGCTTGAACTCCTGAACATGAGCGCCCCAGTGCTCTGTCTGGCTCAGGCTGGCCCTGAGGCCACAGATGCAGAAGCACCACAGCATGGCAGAGGAAAACGCGGGGAGGAGGGACCTGTCTCCCCCTCACGTGACCTGCATTCCCTCCATCCCAGTCCTCAGTGGACTCTTAAAAATAACGTCACATCTTATAAACTCTGTCCCAGCAAAGGCTTCAGAACCTTCGGCCCGTCTTAAACCTCATGACACCTGTTCTGTGATGCTCTCAAAGCCCACGTGGCATCTATCACGACCATGCTTTCAAAATCAATATGCAGGATTGTGCATGACGAGAATTCAAAAATCGAAAGGGCTCTAACTCTACAAGGCTCTCTAACACCTATATACACTGGAAACCTCCAGATCATTAGATCATGATTCACTACCAAGGTCATACACAGATGCATGTGAAGTGTGTGGTAAATGGCCTTTAAGGTCAAGCTAACTTTGATCAAGCAAGCTGTAACAGAAGATCTAATCTTGTTAATGCTATAGGCCAGTCTTGAGACAAAGTATCATTAACTAGCCTTGAACCATAAATCTAAGCAACCTTCCTAATCTCTAACCTTGAAGAAAAAAAATGTGGCCATTGGCTAATCTCTAACCCTGGAGAAAAGACATACCCCACTAGTCTCTCAAATAATGGAGAGGATACAACCCTGACACATACTTTTCCTAATTCTAAACCATGTAGGGTTCCCTTGCTCAACAGCTTCTTGGTACAGGTATAGGTTTCACGTGCGCACAATTAGACATTCTGAGTCTCATTCTTCTCGATGTCAGCCACACTTTGCTATGATCTACACAGTCAAATGCCTTTGCATAATCAATCAAGTACACATAGACACTCTTCTGGTGTTCTTTGCTTTCAGTCAGGATGCATCTGACATCAGCAACGATATCCCTGGTGCCACAGATTCTTCTGAATCCAGCTTGAATGTCTGACAGTCCTCTGTCAGTATACTGTTCTAGTTGGTTTTGAATGATCTTCTTCAGTATTTTCCTTAAATGTGATATTAATGATATTGTTTGATAGTTTCCACATTCTGATGGTCATTTTTCTTGGGAATGGGAACAAATACAGATCTCTTCCTATATACTTGGTACCACCACTCAGGAGATCAGGAGACATACTGCACTGGTAAAGTCAGTAGTCAAGGACCTCTCCTTGAGGAACAATGATATTAGTTTGAGGGCTGAGACATACTTGATTCAGGCCATGATTATTTTTCCCCCCAGTAACTTGCTCTATATCCAAGAGCTGGACAATGAATAAGGATGACAAAAGAACTGATACCTTTGAACTGTGGGCTTGGGGAAGAATACTGAATAGTCCATGGACTGTCAAAATACCAACCAGGTATGTCTTGTGAAGGTGCGGCCAAGGTGGTTCTTGGAGGCAAGGACGGCAAAGCTTCATCTCACAGGCTGTGGGTATGTTGCAAGGAGAGGCTATTCTTTGGACATGGACATCACACTTGGAAAGGTGGCAAGATCGTGAAAGAGAGGGAGATCCTGAACCAGGCTGACTGACAGAGGGACTTAGCATTGAGCTCAACTGTGTCAGAGGTTGTGAGGATGGTACAGGACAGAACAGGGTTCAGATCTGTTGTTCACAGGATCGCTATGACTCGCCCTCAACTCAATGGCACCTAACAACAACAATGCTCGTCTCTGATGCTACAATGGCCCTTACTGTGTGAGACCAAGGCGAGAATCTCACTTACCAACCCTGAATTCCTGCTTACAGAAGGACAGAAAACCCACAGCCCTGAGTTGATCCTGACTCCTGGCAAACCCTCCTTCCAGTTTCCCAGACATGGAAGTCTTTTAAGACCCCCTGTTCGCATGAGGAGTGGTGGATGGTTTCAAACCACTAACCTTTTGGTTAGCAACCCAGCACATACCAGCCCAGCCCACCAGGGCTCCTTCAGCGGGAGAAGGCAGAGGCAAATGGCTATTTCTCTAATCTCTTTCTATACTGGAACTCTATCCTTCACTATTGACCTTGGACCCTAGCTATGAGGCATCTCCGCTGAGTGTGAGCCATAGTTGAACCTTCCTCTCAAGAATTCTCATAAAACGTAAAAGCCTAAAGAATTTAGATTATAGTCATTTAACTAACATTATAATTGTTAATTCGAAACAAGTTTATACTTGTCACACCTGAGTATCTCCTAATTTCTAAGACAAAATTATTTACAACACGCCATGGACACAGTATTCTACAATCAGAGAAACTAAGGCCTGGAGAAATTCTGTCATGTGCTCTGGGTCTCAGAGGGGCCTAGACCTTGACCCTGGGCAGGGTGGCTGGAGCCTGAGTTCCGACCCACTTCCAATCTGCACACCCTTAGCCCAGGGCTCAATGTTCCCTTCATATTGTTGCTTCTGTGCGCCATCTAGTCAGAACCTCCATCGCTGACCCTCGTGCAGGTTTTTGGAGGCAGTAAATCACACAGCAGAAGACTGCCCATATCCTTCTCCCACAGAGCAACTGGTAGACTTGAACCATGTGCCTTTGGGACTGCAGCACAGCTCCTTACCACTAGGCCACCAGAGCTCCCTCACAGAAACTTCTTTTCAAATGACACTCAGCCCTTACACCTCTCCCCCAGTAATGGGGCTCAACCATGGCATCTGAAAGACCCAGTTCTTAAATGACAACAACAACAAAGACAGATAGCCTATCAAAAAATAGCCCAAGGTCTCAAATAAACATGTCACCCAAGAGGACAGTTAAATGTCCACCAAATCCATAAAATGATGCCTGCTGTCTCGAGCCATCAGAGGCCTGCAAATCAAAACCACAATGAGATGCCACTTCACGCCCCCATGATGGCTAGGATTTTAAAAAGAAAAACAGCAAGCGTTACCAAGGATGTGGGGAAACTGGAACCCTTAATTACTGCTGGTGGGACGGTGAAATGATTCATCTGTGGTGGAAAACAGGGTGGTGGCTCCTCAACCAGCCGAAACGAGAGCTCTCCGATGACCTGCAATGCCACCCCCAGGTATGTACCTTGGAGCTACGGGGACAGTGTTCAGCACATGGTGCCCACCACGCCTGTGGATGCAGCAGGCCCTGCCCAGCTCGAGCTGGCCCCGGAGAAAGTGCATGCAGCTTGGCTGTGAGCTGTTCCCCTGTGCAAAACTTAAAGACGTCCTTTTGTGACGGGGATATTTCACTCAGCATAATGTCCTCTAGGGTCATCCACTTTGCACAATATTTCATGAGTTCCTTGTTTTTCAATGCTGCATGGTGCCACTATTGTAAAACAGGACTGATAATACGAGTTGAGGGAAGACAGAGAAGGAGAGGAGGAATGACGTATACTGCATCAAAACAGATGAGGGAGAGAACTGCTTAAAAGGGATATATGATTGAGTGTTATTGTCATGACAGGAGTCCAGAATGAAGGCTGCACAGTGGAGTGGGCTTGAGGGGAGGGATTCTATAACAAAGAAAGAGTTTTACTTTTCAAGGAGAAGAGTGAATTGTGGGGGGAGGAGTGGGCAGGGAGAAAAGTGCAACAATGAATGACTGGAAACCCAAAGTCTCTGTAAACTTTCATTAAAATTAGTTTTAAAAAGAAAAAAATTTAAAAACACTTAAAAACATCATCTTCCTTGTTACCCAGAGCCCCTCTCCCACCTGGCAGACTCCCCTTGAGAGATTTAGTAGCATTATGTTGTTATGCACCATCGAGTCAGAACCAACTCCTAGCTGACCCTCCAGTGGGTTTTCAGAGGTTATAAATCACACGGGAGGAGACTCTGCCCATTTTTCTCCCATAAAGCAGCTGGTGGGTTTGAACTGCCTGCCCTTGGGTTGTCAGTGCACCTCCTTACCACTCCACCATCTGAGCTTCCCTCAGCATTAATGAGAAGGGGAAATGCCTTGGAGCAAACCTGCTTGCTTTCCACCTGCTCTGATGAGATCCCTGTAACGTCCCCCTTGTGACGAGGCCGCCAGGGAGCTCACATCAGGCTGTAGCGCACAGCCCATGTCCTCAGCCCAGGTCTCTGGGGAGATTCATTTGCTTCCTCCTCCACAGGTTCTGGATTTGGGCCCTTAGTTTTCATGTGCTGTGTCTGTGCCTTTTATTCTAGGACACCTTTTCTTCTGTGACTCGATGAGTCATGAGGAATAAATGAATAAACGAATGCGCTTAAGGCTCACCTTGGAGCAGGGGCAGCACTGAGGGGAAGAGGAGGGGGCCTAAAGCAGACAGAGCTCAGGCAGAGGAGGGCCCAGAACTGCAGAACTTCCAGGAAGATGAAGCGCCCTATCCTGCCTTCCCTTCCACTGAGCACGTGAGGATAAAGGGGAATGAGGACTCTCCTGAGTTCCCAGGTTCCCTTCCTAGGTAAGCGGAATGCCTATCCCTTCCCAGAATGCTGCATCTCCTTGGCTCCATCCATTGCAACACCTCCGCCATCAAATCATCCTTCATCACCAAGTTCAAAAGCATCCTTCCCTACGACATCACCCTTATATCCCCAGGGAGTGTCAGGAGCCACCTCTCCAGGAATCTGACTCCTGAGGAGTCTGTCACCCCCACTAGCTGGGGGCAGCATGGTCCACAGGTCCAGCCGAGAACCAGGTAGCGAGAGCACCTACTTGGTGATGTTGAGAAGAAAGGGAGGGGGCGGGGGGGGTCCCTCCATCGCTCCAATTCTTCCATCCCTCCAAGCCCTCACTCCTACATGCTTCCCCGCGGCTGAGATTCTGGCTGGGAGGAAGGAAGCCAGGGCCTGGGTCCCAGAGGACTGGGATCTGCCTGATACTGGTAATCTGCTCATTGCAAGGTGGGTGCTGGGGGTCCCTCAGTGGGGCTGTGGGAGGAGCGCCTTACCTGGGGCAGAGCCTGCACCACCGTGTCCAGCAAAGCCCGCATCCCTGTGGCCATCTTCAACAGCTTCAGCACTGTGGGAGAGACCCCGCCCGGCCCTGCTCAGCCCCAGTCAGTGGGGACCCGTGTGTGCACGTGTATACATGTATGTGTACATGTGTGTACTTGTGTAAATGTGAAAGGAGAGAGAGAGAAGAAACTGAGGAACATGCAAGCTGAGAGCGCAGGCTCTCTGATGCCACCCATCTAGAATGTGGGTGCGCTCCAGAGAAAGCCAGGGCACCAAAACCACACCCCAAGGTAGTGCCTTGGGGCAATGGGGTGCCACAGGTGTGCACAAGGGTGTGTGTGCAAAGGCACATATGAGGGGGAGTGGAGAGGTAGAAGATGCATAACTGACCCAAAATTAACTGCAATGGAGCCCAAGGAAAAGCGCCCAGGTGGCGCCGTGGTTAGCGCTTAGCTGTTAACTGAAAGGTTAGTAGTTGGAACCCCTCAGTGGTTCTCAGAGACAAAGATGCCCCAGTCTGGCTCCCAAAAGATTCCCACCTTTTTTGTGCTTCTATCTGTGTGTGTAAACCTTTCCTTAGGTTTAACAGGGATGGGAAGGGAGGGGGAGAGGGACAAAAATACATTAACTTGGGTGAAGTCAGAGACAACACAGAATAAGAGGTTGATTAGACATTGTAATCAATTAATCACACTAATCAATGGTAATTAATGTTATAAAATAAAGCGCCTACAAATGATTGCATGAAAAATCAATACAATTTGTAAACCTTCACTCAAAACAAATGTGATTACTGACTTGGAAGCCCCAGATAGAGCTCTGCTCAGTCCTACAGGATGGCTCTGGGATGGAATTAACATGACGACAATAGGTTTGGGTGTTTTTAATTTGGGAGACAAAAGGACCATATATGGGTATCCAAGCCTTTCCCCTCACCCTCTAGCTAAAGAGGACTCTGGTGTGACCCAGAAGTTTCTCCATGCCCTCACTCACCTCACAGCCTGCAGGGCTCTGGGTGGAAGGTGCCTGGGCTAGCATTAAGATGGAGGCTTTGGAAAAGAGTAAAGGAACAATGCTGGGGTGTAAAGGATACTCCCAGGAGTAGAAACAGGGGTGTTAAGAAATATCAAGGCTGCCAAGTAGATATAAGCTCATCCATGTTTATCGCGGCTTTGTTCACAATAGCAAGGAGTTGGAAACAACCTAAGTGCCCATCAACAAACGAATGGATAGAGAAGCTGTGGTATATTCACACAATGGAATACTACGCTGCATTGAAAACTAAGGAACTCACGCAATATTATTCAAAACGGGTGACCCTGGAGGACATTATGCTGAGTGAAATATCTCAGTCACAAAAAGACAAATACTGCTTAGTGACACTTGTTGTAGAACGAGACTGACATCAGGGATGGGGTAAGACTGAGAAAAACTGGATCAATTACACTGCATTGAAACAGATGAGGGAGAGAACAGTTTAAAAGTAATACATGATAGGGTATTATGGTTATCACAAGAGTCCAGAATGAAGGTTGCATAGAGGAGTGTACTCGGGGCGGGGGTGGAGGTGGGGGAGATGGGGGGATTGTATACCAATGAAGGAATTTTTCTTTTTTCTTTTCAAAGAGAAGAGTGAACTAGGGGGGGAGGGGAAAGTGCAACAATGAATGAATGGAAATGCAAAGTCTCTGTAAATGTTCATTAAAATTAATAAAATAACATTTTTTAAAAAGGCAATATCGAGGCTGGTGTCCCAGCGCAGTGAGGCGCTGTAGCTACCTGACAGCATCGTTCCTGGTTGTACTGGGCCCCTTTACCACAAGCTGAGAGTGAACCACCAGGAGCATGTCCACGGTGCTGGGCAAAGCTGTGAGTAAGTGAGTGTGGCGTGGACAAGGGGTGGACCGTGCAAGCCCAGTGTCAGTTCCCGGGGAACTCGTTGTGCCCTCCCCCCGCCCACTCCCCCCACGCCGCCCCTCACCCCGGGCGATACGCAGGACCCGCATGATGCGGATGATGGTAGGGTTGATGGGCAGCGCCGCGTTGATCTCGATCTCCTCCAGCGTGATGCCCATCACCGACAGCAGCACAATGGCCAGGTCCAGCTGGTTCCACCTGCTCAGCGGGCAGAGAAGGGCAGCAGTGGGAAGCCAGGTGGGGGACACTCAGGTGCACACATGCCTGGGGACGGGGTGCCCCCAGCACTCTGCTCTCCTGGGCTCTGTGGCCACCTCCTTAACTGTCCAGTGTCCAGATACCCTCCATTAGGGCGGGCCCCCTTTCTGCCTCCACAGCCTGTGTCCCCTCAAATGAGGTCCACCAGGCTGGATAAACAGCTCTGTTCTCCCACAGGTGAGGAGGCGTGGACTCCGTTAGACTTGGGTCTATATTTGGGTCAGGATACTCTGGCCGGTGGTGGTCACACTCCTCAGCCTCTCTGAGGGATTTTTTTTTTAACTCATCCTAGAGAGGGTTAAACCAGGCTGCTCCTTGGAGGCAAGGATTCTGGGGCTTCGCCTGACATACTTTGGACATGTTGTAAGGAGAGACAGGTCTTTAGAGAGGGACATCATGCTGGGCAGAGTGGAGGGACAGCGCAGGAGGGGAAGACCCTCTATGAGGTGGATTGATTCAGTGACTGGGGTAATCGGGATGGGTGTGTCAGAGGCAATGAGATTGGCACGGGATAGAGCAGGGTTTAGGGCTGTTGTACATGGGGTCGCTATGAGTCGCAAGCGACTCGACGGCACATAACAACAACAACAACAACCCATCTTAGAAAAGGGATTGTGAACCCTGCCTGTGAGGCAAAGAGGGTCCTCAAGAGATGGGCTAAGAAGGGCTTAGTGAAGTCATAACCACTTCCTGCTCAGGGCTACAGCAACACCCCAGGAAGCTGGTCATTGAGGTCCCCTTCCTCCAGCCACGCCAGGCTTTCCGAGGGGTCAGGACTCCTTTCCCACCCAACTGTCCACCTTATGCTGCTCAAGCCCGGCCACTTACCGATCCTTGAAGAAGCGCCTCAAGCCAAACGCCACCAGCTTCAGCACAGCCTCCAGCACAAACACAGTGGTGAACAGGTAGTTGCAGTACTTGAGGGCTGTCTCCAGGGACTGCGGGGTAAAGAGAGCATGAGGGCGCTGGGAGGGACCCTGATGACCATCACTGAGCCACACATCCATCCCGTGAGCGCTTGAAGGACGAGAAGGGCAAGGCAAAGGCCTCACCAGCCATCAACACAGGGTACTCGGGGCTCCAGACCCCGAGATCCAGGCTCTGTGGCCTCTCCCCATCTGTCTCCAGTCAGAATGTCACTGCCTTTGAAGGGAAGGATTTAGTCCGTTTATATTTAGTGCAATGACCTAGGTAAATCTAGTTTTCCATTTATTTAAGAATGAAATAGAATGAATACAGATGACAAAAGAAGAATCACCGTCTCTGAGCTGTGGCTGAAGGATGGAACTGAATATGAGATCATGAACTGCTAGAAGAATAAACAAGTCTATCTTGAAGAAAGTGCAATCAGGGTGCTGTCTAGAGGTAAAAATGGTGGAACTTCATCTCACGTACTTTGGGCATGTTGCTGGCCATGTTTGAGCATGTTTTGGGCATGTTAGGCCAGTCCTTGCTGGGCCATTATGCTGGGAAAGGTGGAAGGTCAGAGACAGAGAGGGAAACTCTCAATGAAATGAACAGACACAGTGACTGTAACATTGGGCTGAGGCATATCAGATAATGAGGATAGCACAGGATAGGGCAGGGTTCAGACACCATTCATAGGGTCACTATGAGTCATAGACTTGACCACACCTAACTACAACAACATTTTACTTAATGTTTACTATTTGTTTTGCAGTGTTGTTTCCTATTCCTTTTTCCTTATTTCCACAGATTTGGTCAATTGTTCCCGTAAGGCACTTTGGGATGTTGTCGTTAGGTGCCATGAGTTGAGTATGACTCATAGCGACCCTATGACCAGCAGATCTAAACCCTGTCCTGTCTTGTGCCAGCCTCACATGACACACTAGAGCCCACTGCTGAAGTCACAGTGTCAATCCTGGTTGAGGGTCTTCCTCTCCTTCGACATCGCTCCACCTTTCCAAGCATGATGTCCCTCTCCAAGGAAGAGCACCTTGGTCCTCAAACTACAATCATTGCTCTTCAATAATTTGGAAATATATCTAACTGCAGACTTTCCCAGTGCATTACATCTCCTGAATTCCTGACTGCTGGTAACAAGTGTATTTTTTTGTGGATCCAAGTAAGATGAAGTTGACAATTTCAATCTTTTCTCCATCTTTGTCAGTCTAGAGACTAAGGTGCTCCTGATCCAGGCCATGGTCTTCACAATTACTTGCTGTGCATCAGAGAGCTGGGCAGTGACTAAGGATGACAAAAGAATTGATGCTTTGAGTTGTGGTGCTGAAGAAGAATATTGAACAAGTTTCTCCTTGGAAGCAAGGATTTTGAAGCTCTGTTTCCACAAACTTTGGGCATCTTTCTAGAAGGGACCAGTCCTTGGAGAAGGACATCTTGCTTGGGAGGGTGGAGGAATACGGCAGGAAAGGAAGACCCCAGGTGAGATGGATTGACACTATAACTGGGGTAATGGGATTGGGCGTGTCAATGTCAGTGAGACTGGCTCAGGATAGGGAAGGATTCAGAGCTATTGTACATAGGGTCACTGTGAGTCACAGGCAACTCAGTGGCACATAACAACATAACAAGAACAATATCATGATGTTTCCTATAGGCCCAGCGGTAAGAAATTTGTTTTCTTGACATTGAGAGATAATCCATGTTGAAGACTATATTCTTTGATCTCCTGCAACAAGTTCAAGTCCTCTTTACTTTGAAGAAGTGAGGTTTTATCATTTGCATAACACAGGTTATTGATGAGTCTTTTTCCAATCCTGATGTCACATTCTTCTTCATCGAGTTCATCTTCTCCAATAATTTGCTCAGCATACAGATTAAATAGGTATGGAGAAAGGATACAGTCATGATGCACATCCTTCCTAACTTTAATCCATGTAGTGCTCCCTTACATAGAAAGAGCTCTGTTGGCCTAGTCAATAGAAAGTTATGCTACCAAGCCAAAGGTGGGTGATCTTAAACTGTGGTCCTCAGGCCTGGTTTTAATTGTTTTTGGCCAAACATTCTTCTAAGTGGTATAGCACTGGTCTGTCCATTTGCTGTACAGTGGTAACTCATGGTTGCTGTGATGCTAAACACTGTGACACTTATGTGTCAAACCCAATAATGGTTACCCATGGTGAACAGTGTTTGATCGAGTTTTGATGAAGTAGGAATGTCATCCACTTGCAAAATAGTTTGCCGCCAGAAATTCTATGAACTTGGACAAACGAAAGTTGTACAAGTGTTCAAGTCTTTCGTTCACAAGGTCACCGGGTCTACGACTCAACAGCACTTAACAATAAGTGCTCCCTTCCTCTGTTTGCACAACAGCCTCTTGGTCTAGGTATAGGTTTCACATGAGCACAATTAAGTGTTCTGAGATTCTCATTCTTCGCATTGTTAGCCATACTTGTTATGATCCACGTAGTAAAATGCCTTTGCATAGTCAAGAAAGCACAAATAGATATTCTTGTATTCTTTACTTTCAGCTGGTATCTATCTGACATTAGCAATGATATCTCCGATGCCATGTCCTCTTTTAAACCAGTTTGAACTTCTGGTAGTTCTCTCTATGAACTATTTTAGCCATTTTTTAATAATCTTCAGTAATATTTTTCTTGTATGTGACATTAATGATACTGTTAGTTTGCACATTCTGTTGGATCACCTTTTTGGGGAATGGGAACAAACGTGGACCTGTTCCAGTCAGTTGACCAGGCAGCTGCCCTCCAAATTTCCTGGCACAGACTGGTGAGCACATCCAGGGCTGCATCTGGCATTTCAAACAGGTCAGCTGGTAACCCATTGATTCCTGGTGGTTTGTTTTTTGCTAATACCTACAGTGCAGCTTGAACTTCTGCCTTCATTACCATTGGCTCTTGAACATGCTTCAGGTACTTCCTGAACTATGTCAGTGTCAGCCAATTCTTTTTTGGTACAGGGATTCTGTGTATTCCCTCCATCTTCTTTTGCTGTTTCCTGGATCATTCAAAATTTTTGCCCACAGCACCTCTAACTATTCCAACTCAAGGCTTGAATCTTTCAGTTTGAGAAATGCAGATCGAGTTCTTCCCTTGTTATTCTCCAATTCTATGTCTCTGCCCGTTGCATTATAGTAGTTTGCTTTGTCTTCCTGAGTTGCCTTTTGAAATCTTCTGTTCAGCTCTTCTGTCTCAGTATCTCTTCCCTTTGTTTTGGCTTCTCAATACTGTAGTATGATAGTGGTTCAATATTTCATCAAATAAAACAAGGGCTCTCAAGTCACCTCACCTAGATTTGAAACAAGCCCACCACTTCGCCACTGTGGTGTCTTGAGAAGGTCACCTTCCCTCCTCTGGACTCAGTTTCCCAGTCTTTAAATTAAGGCTAATAACAGTCCCAACCTCAGAGAGCTGCTGTGAACTTTAGCTGCGATTCTGTGTTGGGAACAGAATAAGCACTTGGTGAATTTGAACTACTAGTATTTCCTTGTCTCTGTCTATTTGAAAGTTATGCTAGCAAGTTTCATTCTGCCAATGGCTACTTTTCTCTCCCTTGCATTCCTAATATTTTTCTTCCATTATTTGAAATAAGATACTCGCTTCCTCACCTGGAGGGTCTGCTTGTCTCTTATTTCTCCTCTACTCCATTAAGCTGAGGCTTTCAGAAGTCACTTTCCTCTCTCATGCACCTCACATCCCTGGTGAGCAACCAGCAGGGAACTGGTCACCCCCTCACACTTCCCACCACTGGGTACTTGCTCACAGCGGTCCTGCCTCTGTAATCCATTCCTCTCCATATGATACATGGCGGGCATTTGAGTACAACTCCAAAATGACTTTTTAACCTACTGACTCCTAGCTGAGTCATTTGGAAAGGATTTTTAATCTGAGACTCAATTTCCTCATCAGCAAAATGTGGATGAACAGATTTTACAGACACTCTGAGGCTGAATTGAAGATTAAAATAATTAGTACATGTAATAAGCCTTGGAAAGAGTGAATATTTAACACACAATAGCCATTGTTACCTCATACACAAGGCTAAACACTAACGTAGCCTCCCCAACATAGGAGTGACAGGTCTTTCCCAGTGACCTTGCTCCCAAGTGTTCAGTCTGTACTGGGGGGTTGTTGAGATCCTGCCATTAACAACCTCACTGCCCTGCGAGGGCCACACCTGGCCATGTGACTCTGAACTCACCGTGGGCTGGTTGTAGTGCTCCAGGGACATGGTGACCACGTTGAGGCAGATGATGAAGGTGATGAAGATGTCCAGGTAGTGGCTGGTACACATGGAGTGGATGAGCAGCCGGGTGGGGCAGTAGGTGGCGTAGTAGGGAAGCCGCTGGGCCTCTGCGGGATGGTGTCAGTGGGAGTGGACACGACAGATCCCAAAGGGTTGGGCAAGGGAAGGGAGACAGGAACAGAGGATAGAGATGAGGAGGGGGGGAAAGCAAGAGGATGAGATGCTGGTCCAGCACCCAAAACAAAAACCCTATTCTGACCTGACTCATAGGGCCCCTCCAGTGCAGAGCAGAACTGCCCCATGGGGTCACCAAGGCTGTCAATCTCACTGAGCAGACATCTTTCTCCCCCACACAGGCTGGTAGGTTTGAACCACTGACAGCTCAGTCAGTGACTACTCAGTCACTGGGGTTCCTCTGATGGACCCAGACCCAAGGACTCAGACAGCTTGGTCTCTCCTATCCATTCAGGGCCTTGTGTCTACCAGGACCCCATGTCTGCCTAGGTTGCCATGTCCATCAGGGCCCTATGTTCACCAGGGCTCCATGTGTCCCAAAGACTCCATGTCCGCTAGGGCCCTATGTTCACCAGGACCTCATGTCTAATAGGGCCCTGTGTCCACCAGGACCCCATGTCTATCAGGATCCTGTGTCCACCAGGACCCCATGTCCACCAGGGTCCTGTGTCCACCAGGACCCCATGTCCACCAAGACCTCGTGTCTACCAGGGCCCCATGTCCACCAAGACCCCATGTCCACCAAGACCCCATGTCCATCAGGACCCCATGTCCACCAGGACTCCATGTCTACCAGGGCCTTGTGTCCACCAGGACCCCATGTCCATCAGGACTCCATGTCTACCAGGGCCCCGTGTCCACCATGACCCCATGTCCACCAGGACCCCACGTCCATCAGGACCCCACGTCCATCAGGACCCCATGTCCATCAGGGCCCCATGTTCACCAGGGCTCCATGTGTGCCTAAGACTCCATGTCCACTAGGGCACCACATCCACCAGGACTCCATGTCTACCAAGACCCTGTGCCCACTGGGATGCTGTGTCCACCATGGCCCCATGTCCACCAGGGCTCCATGTCTGCCTAAGACTGCATGTCCACCAGGACCCTGTGTCTACCATGATCCTGTGTCCATCAGGACCCCATGTCCACCCAGATCCTATGTCCTCAAAGGCCCGGTGTCTACCAGGGCTCCATGAGAAATGCATTCAGAGGATGCCTGGAGGAGTGGTGTGCAGAAGAAAAGACCTCCAACTGGGGCCATGACCCTGGGAAGGGCTCCGGGCCTGGGTGGCGGAGGTGGACCAGGAATGGGGCTCTAGAACCTTGCGCAGGCGGCAGCGATGTCCCCACCTGAGGGCCACCAACAGGGCTCAGGTTGCCTGGACAGAAAGGCGATGATGGCAAGAGTGGGGTCGGGGCATGAGGACCTGTTTCCCCTGCTCCCTTCCAGTTCCAAAGGCCCAAGGGGCCGGGGTTGAAGAGCCCTGGGCTGGGGGGGGTCTGCGGCCACCGCTCACTCACTTCGGCGCTTCTTCTCCAGGCGCCGCAGCCTCTTCTCCTCGCGCCTTCGAGCCTCCTCGGCCTCCTGGTGCTGCCGGCACTTGTGGAAATTCTCCACCACCACGCCCACGAACATGTTGAGCACGAAGAAGCTGACGATGAGCAGGAAGGAGATGAAGTACAGCAGCATCCAGGGGTTGTGGTTGGTCACGGGCTGCAGGGGCGCCAGAGGGAGCTGAGCTCGGCCGCCAGGTGCCACCCACCGCATTCAGCCTGCTCAGCGCACACACACAGCACCTGCCAGCCACGGGGACTGTGACGCGGAGGGAGCAGTTCCAAGGGTCCCGGTCCGGGCTTGGCGGGAATCAGGCTCGGCAAAGGCAGCCTCCACTCTCCTCCAGCTGGGCCCGCACACCCATCTACTTCCTTCCTCTTCCACGTCTCTGCACCCAGTGACCCAGCAGGACTTCCACCTATCCACTTACTCATCCACTCACCCATCCATCCATCCATCCAGTTATCTATCCACCCGTACACCCACCAACCCTCCATGCACTTCTCCACCCATATACCTCCATCCATCCAGTTCTCCACCTACGCACCCATTCATCTACGCAGTTATCCCACCCATATGCCCATCCATCCATCCATCCATCCATCCATCCATCCACTCATCTATCCACCCATACACCCTCCATCCATCCATGCACTTCTCCACCCATATACCTCCATCCATCCAGTTCTCCACCTACGCACCCATTCATCTACGCAGCTATCCCACCCATATGCCCATCCATCCATCCATCCATCCATCCACTCATCTATCCATCCGTGCATCTGTCCATCCACTAATCTATCCACCCGTACACCCTCCATCCATCCATGCACTTCTTCACCCATATACCTCCATCCATCCACTTCTCCACCTACACACCCATTCATCTATGCAGTTATCCACCCATATGCCCATCCATCCATCCATCCATCCATCCACTCATCTATCCATCCGTGCATCCGTCCATCCACTAATCTATCCACCCATACACCCTCCATCCATCCATGCACTTCTCCATCCGTACGTCCATCCATGCACTTCTCTACCCATGCACCCATTCATCTATGCAGTTATTCACCCATATGCCCATCCATCCATTCATCCACTCATCTATCCATCCATGCATTCATCCACCCACTCTTCCATCCACCTGTACACCCTCCATCCATCCATCCATCCATCCATCCATCCATCCATCCATCATCCATCCATGCACTCATCCATCCACCCGTACACCCACCATCCCTCCATGCGCTTCTCCACTCATATACCTCCATCCATCCACTTCTCCACCTACGCACCCATTCATCTATGCAGTTATCCACCCATAAGCCCATCCATCCATCCATCCACCCATCTATCCACCCGTATACCCTCCATCCCTCCATGCGCTTCTCCACCCATATACCTCCATCCACCCACTTCTCCACATACGCACCCATTCATCTATGCAATTATACACCCTATGACCATCCATCCATCCATCCACCCATACACTGTCCATCCATCCATGCACTTCTCCACCCATATACCTCCAACCATCCACTTCTCCACCCACACACCCATTCATCTATGCAGTTATCCACTCATATGTCCAGCCAGCCAGCCAGCCAGCCACTCATCTGCCCATATACACGCCTTTCATTCATCCACTTCTCCACCCAGCATTGATTCATCTATGTAGTTATCCATCCATATGCCCATCCATCCATGCATCCATCCATCTATGCATTCATCCACCCACTCATCTGCCCATATACACTCCTTTCACCTATCCACTTCTCCACCCATGCATCCACACATCCATCCATAAACTCATCCATCCATTCACTCATCCTTCCATCTGGTTACCCACCCATATACCTTTCATTCATTCATCCACTTCTTCACCCATGTACTCAATCCATCTACTCATTCACCCAGCCAGTTCTTCATCCATGCACCCATCCACCCACTCATCTATCTGTATACCCATCCATCCATCCACTCATCCATCTATCCAATTATCCACCTATAAAGCTCCCATTCATCCATCCACTTCTCCACCCATGCACCCATCCACCTACTTAGTCACCCATCAAGTTATCCACCCACATACTCATCCGTCCATCCACGCATCTAATTTTCCATTCATATCCATCCGTCCACTCATGCAACTTTCCAGTTACCTACCCACATACCCATCTATTCAGTTATTTATCCATCCACTCATCCATCCATGCAGTTATCCTGTCATAAACCCTCCATCCATTCCTCCACCCATGCACCCATCCATCTATCCACTCACCCACTCACCTACCATCTATCCACCCACTTACCTGTCCGTACATCTATTCATTTGTCCTTCCCGCCATCTAGCCCTCTCTCCTTCCACTCATCTTCCCATCCTTGTCCATCTATCCATCCAGTCAACACAAAGTTTCTTTCTCTACTGAGCCTCTCACCCTCATCCTCTCTGCCTGTGCAGCTCTTCCTCACCTACAATCCTTCCTTTTTCCAGGAGGGCTGTCATGGTCACTCTGGCCCTAACAAGTATCCCCACGTCCAGTCTCCTAACCTAAAGACTCCCTACACCAGCACTCAGTCACTCACCCCCATCTTGTTCAGGACCCTCCCCCTAGAGTCACCCACACTTTGAAATCATTCCCCACAAGGCTGCACTGGACCCCCAGCTGGGCAGGAGTGATATCTGTTCTGACAACATGCCTGTGGCCCCCAAGCTGACAGAGTTCAAACCTCAATTCTGTCCCCTACCACAACTTGAGTGACCTTGGCCACATTAAGAGACCCCTCTGAATCTATTTTCCCCCTTGAAAAACTAAGACAGTCAAACTAAGACAGTCATATTCTCTAGAAAGTACAATACAACAAGTAGTGTAGACCTTGGACCAGAAACTGGGAACAAGTGTATAGGGAGCAAAGGTGTTTGAAGCTGTCAGCCAAGAAGAGAAAAGACGTGAGATCTGGATGTCAGCTCCACCTGCCCCTGGCAACATCAAGGAGACTCGGCTGTGCCCCTGCCCATCAGTGTGATGACAGCATGGGTTCCAGAAAGACCACAGTCCAGAGGCTCATCTCTCTGCCCTTTCCCTACACACCCGCAGCATCCACGGCCGTAATCAGCTCCCTGGGGACCCTCATCCCTCATACCCCAAAGAACAGCTGCAGGTCCTTCCACATGTGAGTAAGAGAAGAGACAAGAATGAAGCACAGAGATGATGATGGACACACACACACACACACACACACACACACACACACACACTTGCACATGCTCTGAAATAAACAGATAATAGACAAGGGTGCTTCACCATTCCCTCATCCATCCCAGCCCTCAGGTCCAGAATCTCATGGAGAGGTCCTATGAGGACATAGTTCATGTGATGGGGTCACCCATAGCCCTGACTCTGCTGAAAGCATCTGTCCTGAGCTACACTCCCCCTGATCCTTCCCAAATGAACGTCTCAACTCTGGTAAGCCTTGTAACGCCTGAAGTCTCTGCCTGGCCCCAGAGGAGACCCCTCCTCCAGAAGCCTGAGGGCTTAGATCTCCACCAAGCCCCCTCCCCAAGCCCATCTTCACCAAGGGCCCCCTTCCCAAACCCATCTTCACCAACAGCCTGGAGGCTCCAGCAGCAAATCTTCAGGTGTCACCGCCCAGCAATGCCCCTGCCCTCCAGATATGCAGCAGCACCCATCAGGGCACACCTGGGGTCTCCTGCTGGCCTCTCCCCCCACATCTGTCCTCCTCTCACTTTCTGCTTCCCCTTCAGCTCCTGACCCTACGTCCTGAGGCTGCCCTGCAGGCTGGCATAGACCTCTCCTCTTCCCATCCCGGTTCTCCACCCACAGGGCTCTGAGCCACTCCAGGCTGCTGGGCCGACCTCTCTCTGCAAAGCAGGTGGGCATATCTGCAAGTGGAAGGAACAACAACTGATGCAGTCCAAGGAAGAGTTCTAAAAGTGGAGGATCTGAGCCAGGCTGGTCAGAGACTGGGCTGGAACTCAAGTGGGCACACTGCTGTCAGGAGGTCTTGTTGGAACTGATTTCAGATGCCTGGGCCCCAAAGATCCTGTGTGTTGCACCCCTCCTCAGCCTGGCCCAAGCCGTGCCCACCTGCTGGTCCACAGCCACAGCGTCCAGTCCATTGTACATGATGTTCACCCAGCCATCCTTGGAGGCCAGGACAAAGAGGGACATCAGGGCCTGGAAGACACAGGGTGGATGCAGGGTGAGGGAATGGGAAGCTCAGGCAGTACTTGGACCCTTCTCAGCTCTATTGTGGTACCTCTGGGGGGCAGAGGGACAAGGAGGGGGACAGGAGGCCTTCCCTGCCTGGCAGGGCTATGTCTACAGCTGATAACCCCTTCCTGAGGCCCTGCTATGTCCTTCCATGTATTGTTCCAGGCACTGCTGCCGGGGGAAGAACTCTTGACCCGGAGTCCTGGGATCCTGGGCTCTGGTCTCAGCTCTGGATAAGCTGACCACGATCTCAGCTAGAAACATCGCTGTGAGCTCATCTCCGCAGACACCACACAGCTTAACTGCAGAGACTGCTCGGAGGCTCGGCTGAGATTTTAATCTGGAAGGTTCTTGAGAGGCCAGAGGACCACTGCCGCTGCTCCTCTGGGGACAAAGAGGGACTGGTCCATCACCTGAACCAGGAGCTCACTGTGCAGAGAGGAGTCAGGGCCCAGGCTCACAGCGCAGACTCTGCCATTCACTGGAGGCATAATTTGGGACAAGCTCCCTCCTGTATCTGGGCCCTAGTTTTCACATCTATAAAAGGGCAACAATTATACTCATTGGCTCAGGAGGTTTCCAATAAGGAGGTAACCCCAGGAGATGACAGCTAGGGTTCCTATGCAGCACCCTCAGGTCCCCGGGGGCACCTGCTACAGGGCCTTTGAAAGGACACGCACTCAACAAAGGCTGTCAGAACAGAATAGGGATTGGGAGTAAAATCAAAGAGCCTCTGGAGTTGAGTGACCCCCTGGGCCACACTCACGGGTCCAAGGATGCTGGCACTTTGTGGGTTCATAATACAAGGTCCCACGCCACCACCACAGCTGACAGAGAGGTCAAGTGTCCTCTTCTAGAAGACCTCCAACCCCAGGCAGAGGGGTCCATGTCCTCCTCTGCACTCAGGACCCAGGGTCCTGGCCCACAAGTGAGATTCTGACTCCCTCCTGAGTATCCACCCAGAGAGGCACAAAGACCTCACCTCCCAAAGGTCAGATGACCCGGGGGCCTCAGGTTACAGAGCCTGAAGTGAGCACAGCTGGGGACCTGAGCCGGGGCCTGTGACTGTGTGTGACATGAGGCACAGTGAAGGCTTTGCTTGGCCGTGAAAGCAGATCTCCAGCCTTTGTCGGGCAGTGTCTCGGGGCATCTGAAGCACCCTCTCTCTTAGCAGCTGAATACAAACTATTTGTCCACAGAAGAGCCTCAATGGGGATCAAGAGCACACAAAGTCCCTTGGACTCTGAGGTGAGTTGCTGGCTTTTTCCACTCTCAGCTTCCTCTAACATCCCCCCACCCTGCCTTACACTTGATAGATCACTGACTTACACTTGACAAATCACTGACTTGTTAGAAACTTGAAAAGACAAGGTACAGCTTCAGGAGGGAGGGGGGGATGGCTCCTCCGCCCTGGAGGCCAGGCTGACTTCCTCACCAATCCACAGCCATAATCCCTCAGGTGGTATTGGGAGACAGGACCATCGGCCCCTGAGTCACAGAGCCTGGGCCCCTCCCCACCACTGGTCAGACTTGATCCCAAGTGGCCTCTCAAAAAATAAGGAGTCATTTTAAGGGGTGGGGTGAATGGGTGCTCTAGGCTCTGAGCCAGTGCCAGCTGGGAGTGGGGTCCTCATTTGGGGTTTAACCTGGATGGGAGGCCCAGGGAAGAGGGGATGGGGGTGGGCAGGAGTTGGGACCAGGCCTGCTGCAAACAGAGCACAGGAGGGCTGGGTGAGGGGCAAAGGGAATTCACTCTGGGCCAGACGATTGAAACTCTAAAAGGTCATTGCCATTGGAACTGACTCAGAGCTGACCAGCAAGTTTTCAGAGGCAAAAAACCGAATGGGAGGAGTCTGCCCACCCTGCCTCAGAGTAGCTAGTGGATTCGAACCTCCTACCTTTGGGTTGACAGTGAAACTCTTTATCCACTAGGCCAGAGGCTTGAACTGTATTATTTAGTCTCCATCCCAGCCTACCTGGTGGATGCTACATTCCCGTTTTACAGATAAGATCACAGTGACAGGAAATGGCTTGTCAGGGTCCCATGGGGGCTAGTACCCAATGTCCACTGAAGTACCTACAGAGCACTAGGTCTTTGTTCGCACTCCACACTCAGGATCTCCAAGCCCCTGTGAGGTGAATGAGAGGACTACCCATTCCGCTGAAGAGGAAACTGAGGCTTGGAGAGGAAGCCTACGGCTGGTTCCGGCAGTGTGGAACTGGAGGCAGGCCCGTGCTCCCACGGCGATCATTCTCCCCGTGGGAAGGCAGCCTGGCACTGTGGCTGGGTCAAGTCGGGGAGAAGGTAGGCGGCACTCACCTGGCCCAAGTTGTCAAAGTTGTATTTGTGATGGACCCAGCGGTAGTTGGCGGCCACGCAGTCAGAGCGGTTGGTGATGTTGCGGGTGTCCACGCCGAGGCAGTGGTAGAACTTGCCCTTGAAGAGCTGGTGGAGGAGGTAGGGTTAGTGACGGTTCATCCGGCAAATCAGATGAGGGACCGCCCCTCACGGGCATGTCCTCTGCGCAGAGCCTGAGCCCAGCATACCATCCCACTGAATGCCACAGCACAAAGGTGGAGCCACTCTCATCCCATCTCACAGATGAGGAAACTGAGGCTCACCAATGGAGGGTCATTTCCCCCAAAGTCACCCGAGACTTAACAAGGGGCAGCAGCAAGGCCCACCCCCGTCTGTCTGATTGCAGGTCACAGACCCCATAGGAACTATACTCGGTGCGAGGCAAGGTCCCCACAGGAGAGTCACCACATCCACATGTGATGACCACCCCCATATCCATTATCATGTCTCCCTTTCACAGTTGCCTCAGGTGCCAGGCTTGTTCCCTAAATGTGCTACTCCCCGAGATGTCTTCCCTCTACCATCACCTGTCAACACTGGACCTTTCCTCCAAGGCCTGCTACAAAGGCCACCTCCTCCAGGGTGCCTTCCCTCTGGCCTCCCTCTCCTGCTGCCAGCAGCCCTGTGTTCCTGGCATAGCTGGACCCTGAGGCCTCTTTACCTGTCTTGCACTCAGCCATACAGACCCATCTATCTCCCTGTGGACCGGGAGTTCATTGCCAGCCGGGCCACCAAACCACCCGGCCGACCAGCAGAAGGCTGGCCTCAGGGTGTGTGTGGTCAGGCCAGATCCTAGCTGTACCGGGCCTTCTCTTCCATGACCACAGACCACCGAGGCCCAGCAGGCCACCTCACCTGCACCCCCAGGATGCCGAAGATGATGAAGAAGGCACAGCAGATGAGGACGATGTTGCCAATGGGCTTAAGAGAGGAGATAAGCGTCTCCACCACCAGCTTGAGGCCAGGCGCCCGGCTGATGACCCTGAGGGCAGATCGGGTACTGTGAGCCCACTGCCACCCCGACTCAGGCCAGAGCCCCCCTGAGGTAAGAAGACAGTGGCAGGGGACACCGAGAAAGTGGCCAGGACACTCTGATTTGGGGACACAGGTGGTAAGCAGTGACTCTACACACATAGGATACACTCTCTCCAGAGACAGCTGAAAACGGCAAGGGGTCTCCCAGACCCAGAGACTGGAATGGAAGGTCTCCCACCTCTCAGCAGAGGGTCTCAGGAACATACACCCCCAGTCCTTGGCCCTGCTCAGCTGGGACTTGGCACAAATCATTAGGCCTAAGTGGGTGAAAAGCGAGAATGGGGAGCCACGGAAGGCCACCTACAATTTCCAGGGTTGAACAGGGACACCACCCTGGGGGAGTGGTCCTCACCTCAGGGGGCGCAAGGTACGCAGGAGCCTCAGGACCCGGAGGACCCCCAAGATCTTGGCTCCCCCGGCCGAGGCTACAGACACCACGATGTCGATGATGGACACAAAGACGAGGAAGCCGTCCAGTACGTTCCAGCTGCTGCGCAGGTACGCCTGTTCCCCGAAGTACAGGCCCAGGGAGACCACCTGGTAGAGGGTGGGTAGGTTTTGCGGGCTTCCATGATGAGGGGGAGGGAAGGTGGGCGGAGTCAGCAGGCCTCCCTGGCAAGGGGCGGGGAAAGTGGGCGTGGCCCGCGGGCTCCCCGGTAGTGACGGGAGGTGGGCGGGGTTAGTGAGCCTCCACGGTGAGGGGCGTGGTCAGCCTGCAGGGTGTGGATGCTGATGGGTGGGTCAGGGACAGGTAGGAGGGGCCAGTGCAGGGCTGGGGTAGTTACCTTCAGTGTCATCTCGCCCACGAAGATGGCTGTGAAGATGTAGTTGGACACGGTGAGGAAGATGCGTTCCTGGAAGAGCAGGCAGACCTGTCAGCCAGCCCACTGGTCCTTGCCCAGCTTCAAGGGCCACCAGAATGGCCAGATCCGTGAGTGGCAGCCTAGTCCCTCCAGACGGTCTCACCTCCCTCTGGCTGCTCGAGGGCTCCCCTTCCTCCCTGGTGTATTGTCCCTGTGGTCTCTCTCCCTGCCTTGCCCTGCTCAAAGCTCAACACTCACTGTGCTGCCCGCCTCTATCTGGGGCCGCTCCAGGGCAATAGTGATGCAGTTGAGGAAGATGAAGGCCAGGACCACATAGTCAAAGAGCTTGTGCGCGATGATGGTCTGGCACAGGACCCGGAACCTGGGGAAGGGGAAGGAGGCAGGCAGGGGTCCCATGAGTATCCTTTTGCCCCTCCCTCCAGCCAGGAAGATGTTCTCCCATCCAAGAACTAACCAGCGCCAAACCTGCTTAGCTTCTGAGATAAGACAAGATCGGGTGCGTTCAGGGTGGCATGGCCGTAGACCAGCCAGGAAGATGGCAGAGTGCCCAGGCACACACAGGGGCCCAGGACAGCCTGCAGAAAGTGACCCCTCTCTTCTCTGGCCACACTACATGTGTTGATTCCACATTTGCTAGGCCACCACCTGAAGCCCAGTCCCTGACCACACCCACAACCAGTCCTGGCCCCAAAGGGGAAAGGGACAGGCTTATCCTAGCACTCAGGGCCTTCCAGATACATCCTGAGCCCTGGTCTCCAGACATACAACCCCACACTGCCTGCTGTCCTCTGCGCCTGCCAAGGCTTTCCTGGAAGCAGTTCCTTCCTCCACGTGGACTGACCTCCTCCTCTTCACTCCTCCTGCCCCACCAACTGGAACCTGTGTGCACTCAGGAAGCTCTCTAACAACCCTTCACACCCGAATGTGAGCACCTAGACTCTCGAGTCACACAACTATGGAAGGGTTTCCACCCTGGACTCTTGCATTCTCCTGCAGGTCCCACCTAAGTGGGTAAGAGGGTCTGTGGAGAACTGAGAACCTTCGTCTGTGCCAACTCCCTTCCCCAGGCCACCGCTACCCAGGCAGGGCTGCCCACCTGTTCTCAGGGGAGAAGAGATAGACGGACCAGTCCTCTCTGACCTCGCACCAGTCGGGCTTGTAAGCGTCAATCATCTTTCGGACACGGAAGCACAGAGTCTGGCAAAGGAGACCCGGGCAGGGAGGGTCAGAACCTCCCCGAGCTTCCTACCTCTGACCACTCTAGGTACCCCTCCAACTGTGGACACTGAATCACCACCTAACACAGTTCCAGTGACATCAGGCCACCTCATTCCATCCGCTGGAGGTTGGGAGGGTTCGCCTTCCAGATGTGGGCAGGTATGGGCAGTCTAAGGTGCAGCCCTCAACCCTCTCTCACTTGTAGACACACTTGTGCAACACACTGTATTAGCCACGTCCCTTGTAGTATCCTTCCTTTAGCCCCGCCCATTACTCCTATAACTAACACTCTGTCCTGGCTCCTTACCCCAGCACTACATTACCAGCCTGTGTCTTGGTCCCCACCCCTCAACCACTACTTTTGTAGCCAATGATTTCTTGATCCCCGCCCATCACCCCGCCCACTACTTTCTTTTTTTTTTAATCTTTAATATCAACCTTTATTGAGTTTGAGGTCACACTGTAAAAAGTAAAATGATCATGTCAGTGAAATCAGCAATAAATAACAGATTTCTTAATGAGCACCACTCATTAATAATGCTAATTATTTTAAAAAGTTTTGACACTTTACATTTTACAAGAACCTTTCCCAAATGGCAGCTCATATTTAAGTGCAACATAAGACAGATAATATGATCTTTCTTTGCAAATAAGGAATTTATATTAAAGGAAGTTTGACCTGGGATCAGATTTTCTTTTTTTTTCCCCCCCTCTCTCTTCTTCTCTATGAGGTAGAATCTATGCTAAGGAAATTCCTTGCCAAAATTAAGGAATAATTGTTGATAACGACTTTTATAAGTAACTTTTGCACAGGTGTTCATACCCAAAGTTTCCTTCATCCCCACCCCTCTCATCCCACCCACTTCCTTTATAGCCAATGGTTTCTGGTCCTCTCCCCCCTCATCCCGCCCACTTCCTTGATAGCCAATGGTTACTTGGTCCCTCATCCCACCCACTTCCTTCATAACCAATGGCCTCCCCCCTCATCCCGCCCACTTCCCTCATACCTAATGGTTACTCGGTCCTCTCCGCCCTCATTCCACCCACTTCCTTCATAGCCAATGGTTTCTTGGTCCTCTCCCCTCATTCCACCCACTTTCTTCATAGCCAATGGTTTCCTGGTCCTCTCCTCTCATCCCACCCACTTCCTTCATAGCCAATGGCTCCCCCCTCATCCCGCCCACTTTCTTCATAGCCAATGGTTTCTTGGTCCTCTCCTCTCATCCCACCCACTTCCTTCATAACCAATGCTTTCTTGGTTCCCTTTCTTGCCAGTCCACTTCCTTCATAGCCAGTGTCTTTCAGTCCTCACTCTCTCTCGCCGCCCACACTCACATAGTCTATCTCCTCCTCGTCCTCCCCGCGATCCTGACGGTCATTCATCTTGGTGAAGACGTCTTTGGCTATGCTGGGCATCCTGCCATTGCAGTCCTCGTGTCCCGGGGCCGAGCCCACCGCCCTCCATGCTGCCCGGGGGTGGGTGCCCCCCACGGGCCCCAGTTCAGCCAGGTCCACGGAGTCCCTGGTGTCCAGGGAGAGCGTCCTGCGGTGGTGGCGGTGGCGGTGCAGCCCGTGGGGCCCGTGATGCACGTGGTGCGCGTGCGGGGCGTGCAGCGGGGCGGGGCGCGGTGGACCCTCGTCCCGGATGGCCTCACAGGGCCCGGTGCCTCCACCTCGCTCGGCTGAGAGCAGGGACTCATGCTCAGCCGACGGCGGTTTGTGCTTGAGGCTGTTCCAGCTGGAGCGGCGGCTGGCCCAGGCCCCGCTGCGGCCCCATGGCCCGTGGTAGGAGCTCCTGGAGCTGGACTGGGAGGAGGCCAGAGCTTCAGTCAGCGACTCACACGCGCTCCCACCACTGCGCCTCTAAGGAGCCCGCTTCTGGGCCCATAGGTGGCTGAGGGCTCCTCTTCCTGTCCCACCCCGCTGCCCCCCAAGCTGGGTAGGGAATAGCCACCGTGAGTCCACATCGGCCTCGCTTCCCTAAGATCTGCCCATTTTACAGGCAATGGGCTCAGAGAAGGGTGCTGTGGCAGAGGCCAGATCCAAGGTGGAACTGTCTAACCCAAAAGCTGACTCTACCCTCTCCATTGCTTCCAGCAAGAGGGCTCTTCACTACATGGTCCAGCACTGTCCACTCGCTCATTCATTATTCATCCCCTCCACTCACTCCTGTCACTCTGGTGGAGCACCCAGGAGTGAGACCACAGCCCTGCCTGGCTTCACTGGACAGCCTGGGGCCATGAGCCGGACACTGGAGGCTGAGGCTGGACTGTGACATTTCCTATGACAGAGCACCCCACAACTCACCAGGGAGCGCTGGCTGAGAATATCCCACAACTCACTAGTGAGCACTGAGAGCACCCACAACTCACCAGGGAGCGCTGAGAGCACCCACAACTCACCAGGGAGCGCTGAGAGCACCCACAACTCACCAGGGAGCGCTGAGAGCACCCACAACTCACCAGGGAGCGCTGAGAGCACCCCACAACTCACCAGGGAGCGCTGAGAGCACCCCACAACTCACCAGGGAGCGCTGGTCGTAGCTCATCCTCCCCAGAGACATGACACTGCTCTTGCGGGAGCCCAGGGCCACCAGCATGGGGTCTGGCTGCAGGGAGAGGCGAGGGGTGGGGGCCGTGCCCCCAGTGGAGCCCAGGTGGCCACACAGTGGGAGAGTGGGGTCCAGGTGCCCGTTGGGGGTCATGGGGACTGGACAGAGCTTGAGGTCTAAAGGGGTGAGATGAAAACAGAGGAAGGGACAGACAGGCAGACAGAGGAACACAACCAAAGAAACCATGAAACAAATAGTAGTAATTCAAAGCTTTTCTGAGAAGACCCCTTCCACCAGGAAGTCTTCCAAGGTTGGACTTCATCACAGGACACCTCCCCACTGCCTGGCCGACAAGGACCTGGGCCTAAGGTAAAGAAGGCTGCCCAGTAGAGAAGGCTTCCCAGTGGTACCAGCAGGATGAGATCTCAGGCTCTGGAAGTCCCAAGGCTCTTCCCCAAAGGTTGCACATGAGACGGGATAAGATGGGCTGCTGGTATCCCTGGGACAGTGCTTCAGCCTCCAGCCTTGAGGATGAAGCCAGGTGCTGTAGCCTGTACCCCCCTGGATGCCCTGGGTGAGCACCTGCACCCTGCTTACCTCCCGCACTGCTGAGGCCCTCCTGCAGCTTGTCAAACTCCTCCTCCAGGTTGGATGAGCTCTGCTCATCATCTGAATAGGAGCGATTGGCATCACCCTGGGGGATGATCACATTGAATCACAGTAGGCTTACACCTTCCCCCTCCTCCTAAACTTCTCAATGAATGCTTTCACTCCCACTTTACAGATGAGGAAATTGAGGCTCAGAGAAAAAAAATTAGGTGGCCTAAGGTCACACAGCTAATGAAGATCTGGCCACAAACCTACATCTGCCTGATAGCTAGTATCCACCAAGCCCACAAATGGAAGGATAGGACCCAGAATCCCAAATCCCAAAGCCTCAGAGTCTCAGAGATCTAGGGTCCTGGTCCTGCACTGGAGGAGAGGTAGGGATCCCAAGTGCAGGCTCCCTGGAGTGAAAAGCCCATGGTCTCATTGGAGCCCCTTTTTCTGGGTGCAGGTTCTTGCTAGAAATTTGAATTGCAACTCTCCCCCCATTCAAAGATCACCCCCCAGCCCAGCCTCAGGCTTCCTCCACCAGGCCCATGGTCACCTCCGCCTGGAAGCCCTCCACCAGGATGGCCACCAGCAGATTGAAGAGCACGTAGTTGCCAAAGGTCATGAGGGCAACAAAGTAGAGGGAGGCCCAGGGGGAGGTGGAAGCCATGCCATTGTAAAGGACAACATTCCAGTCTTCCTGGGTGAGGATCTGCGGGGCACGGGGGACAAATACAGGTCAATCCCTGAGTACCACAGCCTGTCTCCGGGAAACCTCTGAAAAGAGACAGGCTGTCAACCAGGTCCCAGCCCAGCCCACGGGCAGAGGGACCCACCAGGTGGCAGACACAAAGGCCCACGTACACACACACACTGACACACCCTCTCACACCCGTGCTCAGGCATCACCCCCGTGCTCACGCCCCACTCCCTGGGGCCTCCCACTCCAAGAGCTGGGGCTGCCTCATCTTGAGCCTCCCTAGGCCGAACAAGCCCACCCCATAGGCCTACACCCACAACCCCACGGCAGTGCTCTGGCCAGCTCTCAGCTTACGTCACACTCCTGCCTGCTTTGCTAATGCCCACTGAGTCCAAGGCACATGTCAACAACACTCCCTCTCAGCTGCTCCCACAATTTCACTTTCAAGATCACCCCCAGCACTTCCTCTGAGCCCACTCCTACTTGGGCCTTCCCAGGACACGAGCCCAACCAGCCTGGGGACCACCCTTCATTCTCCCCAAGCCCTTTCTGCCCCCAAGTGCTAAAGAAAAGGAGATTGGGTGTTGGGGGGCCCTAAAAGTGTACCCACTCATTGGCTATCATGGCGCCCAAGTTACACACAAGAAAGCAGCCTTCCAGAAGAACCAAATGGCACAGTCTCCGGCCTAACAGGGTGACAGGGACTGGGCTGGGCCCCCACTCCCACCCTGACACACACAGGGACACCTGTCACTCACCTGAAACACCGTCACGATGGCCCACAGCAGAGAGTCGAAGTTCTTCCTGTCGGGGACTGTGTCCCCCGTGTCCGTGCGGAGGCTGAACTTACAGCCAAAGATGTGCATTCCGAGGATGCTGGGTAACAACGAGGCAGCTTGAGGGGCACACGCACCCACTCTCCGCCTGCCCCAGCTGATTTCATTCCCAGAACCACCCAGGGAGATGTCTGTCACCCAAGTCTCAAGAAGGGTCGTTGTCCTGGCCCCATTTTGCAGACGGGAACACTGAGGCTCAGAGGGGAAGTGAGCTGCTTCGAGCCACATGAACCAGTAGCTTGGTCCAGAGACCAAGTCACCCTCCACTGGGCCTCTGCCCTGGGCCCTGGCTGGCCCCAAGGGGGGCACCGAGGGGGGCGGAGCTCACCTGAAGATGAAGATGAAGAGCATGAGCAGCATGCAGAAGGTGGCCACGTTGTCCATGGTCTTCATGAGGACCACCAGCTGGCGCCGCAGCGCGGGCATGAAGCGGACCAGCTTCAGCACCCGCAGCAGCCGGAACGTCCGCAGCACCGACAGCCCGCCGTCCGCCTGCCCCACGATCTCCCAGATGCTGCGGCGACAGGGCGGGCAGGCAGGAGGGTGGGGTGGAGAGAGAGGCAGAGCGGGGTCAGCGGTGGGCAGCGGGCAGGAGAGGTGGGGTGGAGAGAGAGGCAGAGCGGGGTCAGCGGTGGGCAGCGGGCAGGAGGGTGGGGTGGAGAGAGAGGCAGAGCGGGGTCAGCGGTGGGCAGCAGGCAGGAGAGGTGGGCACAGGTGCCCCTCTGCTTCCTTCAGCCACACCTTTCTTCACTCACCTGTGCAGCTCTGAGAAACCTGACCTCTTGCCCCGCCTATCTGTGAATAGAACTCAGGAGGTCCTGAAGGTCACTGACCTCTGAGATGGAGTGATTCTACCCATTATGAACGTAAACAAACCGGGAGAACTTGCCGGCAGCTGAAACCAGAGACGCTCATGTTTCCCAACAGTGTTTCCTCTCACCTCTTTGGGATGACTGAGTCACGGGCCTGCTGCTAGACCTTGCTATTTGGTGCCTAATCAGGAAACACGTTATCTTGCTAAATTGCAAATGTTTAAACACTTGGGTGACTGGTTCCCCTGGAATCTTGTGTGCTTTCTTTCAGGCATTTAGAACATTCATCTGAGGAGTGTGGGGGCTTCAACAGCCAGCAGGAGGGGCCATCGCACAGAGGAGGTAAAGAACAGCTGGTCTCACCCTCTCAGGTTAGGCTGGGGGCCATCATCTAAGAGGTCCCTGCTCAGGCTCTGGGTGGGTGGAGGGCGGCAGAGGACTACCTGATGATGACGATGATGCTGTCGAAGATGTTGTAGGGATTTCGCAGGTAGTCGAAGAGGCCGAAGGCAGCCAGCTTCAGGATCATCTCCAGGGCAAACATGCTGGTGAACACCACGTTGCAGATCTCCAGAACGTTGGTCAGCTCCTCGGGCTGTGGGGCATGAGGGGTGGGGTCCTGGCATGAGGGGTGGGGTCCTGGTCAGGCCACCTGGATGTGCATGCGCTCCAGGAACCCCAGCAACGCAGGCACAGCTTGTCACACTGACTATGACACAAGCCGGTGTCCTCTCTGAGCCCAGACTTCCCCCACAGACATGGCCTTGAAAACCCTTCACCCCTGCTGCCCTGAGGCTCTGAGAGGTCTCTGCAGATGGTGGGGCTTGGAGCTAAGAGGGGACCTTGAACTGATGCTTGCAAATTTAAACATGATGCTGTTTTTGTTCATGTCCTTTCTGATAGAGGCATGATGATACCCATTTTACAGAGGAAGAAACTGAGGCTCAGAAGTAGTCTGAAGACACAGACCGAGATGGGAAAGCAGGTGGTGGGCCTCTGAAACCTCCCTCTTTTCTGCCCCAGTCAGTGAGCACTTCCCACCTGGCCGCTGCTGGTCGACACAACCTCAAGGTGTCACTGCAAGGAGCGTCTCACCCAAGCCCTTCTGCAGGCGAGGAAGCAGGTCTGAGACCAAGGATATGGTAAGTGGGGAGTCAGAATTGGAACCCAGGCCACCTGGTCCCCATGCTGTCACTGTTTAACCTGCATCTGAGAAGTCCCACCCAATGAGTCTGTCCCTCTCCGCCCTGCCCTGTAATGGCCATTGCAGGGTTACGAATGGCTGGACACCCACTGCGCTCAGTGAAGAAGGGTCAGGGAGCGCACATGTCCTGCAGGCCAGGGCAGCCCTCTGCACAGAACACATGTGATGGCCCCCCAGAGAGTCACTCTGGGACCAGGGATCCAAGGAGACAGGGATCTGCCCTTGGCTACCAGCTGACCCCAGAAGAACCAAAGGCCTTCTGCCCCTGAAACTATTTGTCATGTGGGTTTCAGTATCGGAGAAAGCCACCCAGGGACCAGAGCCTGGTTCCAGACCTGGCTTGTACATGACACAGCTGTGGGACCCTGGGAGGTCCTTCTTTGGTGCCTCAGTTTCCTGCATAAAATGAGAGTGCTGACAAGGCACCCACATTCATTCTCAATCTTGATGCTGAGAGTCTTAGGAGACTCCAGCTCGCTCGCTCTCCCCTTGAGGCCCCTCTGGAACTGACCAGTAGGATAGGTGTGTGGTTTCTGTCCACTGTCCTAGGCAATCCCCTTCCCACCTACTTATTCAATCATAACCCTGTGCCCCAAGTTGAATTTGACAGCCCCCCATAATCATTAACTCTTCACAACAACCTGCTGAGGTCACACTCACCCATCGCCATCCAGTCACCTCTAAACCACGCATGTCAGAGCAGAACTGTACCCCATCAGGTTTTCAATGGCTGCCTTTTCATAAACAGACAACCATGCCTTTCTTCCAAGGCACCTCCCACCTCCCAGTTACCATCTGAGCCCATTCACCATTCGCACCACTCTGAGGTCACTCTTCTCAAACTCACCACACTGAGTGGATTACAACTTATAGTGACCCTCCCCTGGGCTTCCCAGGTTATGAACCTCAAAGGAAGGAGCCTGCCCCTCCCTCTCCCCCGGAGCTGCTGGGAGAGTCGTGCAGATTTCCTGTGAGCAGGAACAACATGCCACATAGATCAGCATCTCCATTTTACAGATGAGAAGACTGAGGCTTGGGGAAATGAAGCCATTTGTTCAGAGGCCCCAGTCGGAAAGTAGCAAAGCCAGGCACAGAACCAATCTGACTCTCAATCTGCTCTCCACCTGAATTCATTCATTTATTGATTGATCCATTCGTTCACTGTTGCAGGCTTTCCACAGACACTTCGGACTGGTCAATCTGTGGGACTTGTGCTCCCCAGGGTGGGCAGTGATGAGTCCTGGTTATCTCTGAACAAGAGCCAAAGATCACAGCCATGAGGGAAGATGAGGGGGCTGCAGGCCAGGCTTAGGGGAGTCAGGAGCAGCTTCCTGGAGGAAAGGACATGTCAGCAGAGACCCGGGAGCTGAGGGGGCTGCCAGGTAAATCAGGAGAAGAAAAATGTCATCAGGCAGAGAGGTGCCACCTGGATCCAGAACTGGGAGGTGGGAGGGTGGCAGATACAGGAGCATCTCCCACCTCTCAGCGTCACTTCCCCAGTCCTGTCAGCCCCTTGACAAGGCAGCAGGTGCTCCATGAACCTGACTTTGATTCCACTTCGGTTGAAAAGAGAAGAGAAAAACTAACAACCCAGGCACCCATTCCCTGCTAGTGCCTGGGAAATCTAATAAAACTGCCAGATCTTCTCAAATCCAGATAAAAAGAGACGGCCCCGTTCCCGCTGAAATTACATTTGACTCACAAAACGGTCACAGGGTGAGACCCCTGGTTGGGAGGAGCCGGCATCCCTCAGTCGAGGATCCATGCTCCCCATGGTCTCTTGTTGTCTGTGGAAGTGGATCCCGGTCTCTGCCAGCCCACACCGGCCACACACACACACACACACACACTCCCCTCCCGCAACTGATGCGGACACACACACACACACACACACACTCCCCTCCCGCAATTGATGCGGACACACACACACACA